TGGTACGAGGTGGGTGTCAAAACTGGAAAGAAGTGGCTGGAAGAAATGTGGATTGGTCGGAGACTTTAGTGGTAGATTCGCCATTTTTAAAAACACTTCAAGAGAAAGAAAAAAAAACGCAAGAAATTTTTGAACCTCTTATTTTCTGGGGAGGAAGAGAGGACCAACTTCTTTCTTCTTGTCTTCTTTACTTAGCTACTATGTCAAATTGATCCCTTTATACAAAAGGTTAATAGTTTGTCCAGACTTTTGTCTTTGTCATGTAAAAGCTGTAGGAATTTGAAGCTTTCTTTTAACTTTTGGGTAAAGACAAAATGACCAAGAAAAATTCTGTTTTGGAAAAGTAGAACAAATAAACAGAGAGATCTTTTTCTACTGTTACTTCCAAAGTCATCTATTATTAATTTCCAAGTTCGTGAACACTTGAGATCCTATCGTTGTAACGAGGGATAAACTAACGGTTAGTTACACATGTATTGTAGCATTTGCATAACAAAAAAAAGGTTTTCAAGTTATAGTTTTATAAACATAGATGGAACAAAAAATGTGAACAATTTGACCATGCTCTAGTTACCCTTCAAACCGCTGTCATTTTTTTGTTGTTGTTCAATCTTACATTTCCCAGTTAATCAGATGGAAACTTATCTTATTATCGCGATTTGAAGACTTACAAGAATAGAAGATAAGTGGTGTAAGCAATCCAACACTGCCATAGACACAAGTCGAGAAACAAACAACAAAAGGAATATACATGTAATTTGATGGACTAGGAAGAGATGTGAGTTTTGTTTTTTAACTGAAACACAACAGAAAAACCAGGGATCTCACACACATGATCATCCTTACTAGGCAAAGATGATGAAGACTTTTTCCGGTTTCTATTCGTCCCTTGTCGTAGGATCCATTCTGGTTGAAGGGCTATCAGCAAAATATTCTGGATGCTTCACATTCACACCATACTGTGAAACCGAGTTTATTCGTTGGTTAGCTTTCTACTAGTAATTGAGATATTATAACCACTATCTATCTAGACTATTGCATTCACAATATTATAACCACTTACGCATGTTTTTAAGCTTTTAATGTTGATAATGTGATACTGAATTAGTTTTTATGCCATTTGTATTTAGAGTCCTGGTCAACGCCTCATTTGCACTAAGTAAAAACTAGAAGCATCTACTTTTTCCTCTCATACTATAGACGTTTGTGGGTCAAACGGATACATGAACTTAGAGAAGAAGAAGCATTTACCTCACGCAAAGCTTTTGAAAGGTCTTCCATTGTCAATATCAAACGTTTATCCTGTTTCAAGATAAATTAATATTCATGACATAATCCAAAGAATAAAGACATTTCACTATTGCCGCACAGGCCAAAAAATATATGGAGCTACAGGTTTACCTTTTGTTGTTTTTTGTCTTTCACAACTGGTGTTGGTCTAGCCTTGCAGTGCCTGTATATAATTCACAATTTTAATCACTCGGGAGCTTATATCAATACTTTAAGTTCATGGGAAAATCTAGCTAACGCATCTTTTCATCTCATCTACTCAGTTCTCTCTGTCCAAATCAAATATGAAAAAGGGTATGAATATTCATGGAGAAGGGAATGGAAACTTACTGAAGGGCGTCGCTGGCAACATCTGCAACAAACTTTTGTGTAGCCACAGCAACTAGCCTTATTCTGTCAAACCAGTAGACGAAATATCAGCACAAACTGACAAGAGTATATACAGAAAAATATTATGATAGAGGATAAACCCCAAAAAACTCAAAACCCTAATGCTAAGCACTCAAGTCGTAAGAAAAGAATGAATTCCCTCATTATTCTGTGCATACAATCCGATCTTAACATATAATCAAAGTGCAAATCTTTTCTAGTGCTACTGCTAACCAAACATTGAATTCTTTATCATATCAATTCACAGGAAAAGTAAATAAGGAAAACCTAAATCCAACATGGGAGAGTATTATATTCCAGAAGTAATATTCCAACTACAAGAGTGCTGAACCATAAAAGTTATAATAACAAATGATAAATCTCATCTGAACTGATTTAAACCAAGGCATCTGAACAGACTGCTGGTAAACCAATCTAAAACCCAACAATGATTGTGATTATAGCAGCAAATCTGCTCTTTCATTGTAGGTATCATATGACACAAGTCGAAAATACCTACAATCGTACGAAGGGCACTGAAACCCACTCTTAGCCAAGTAGTGCTCCACTAAATCATCAAGAATCTGATAGAAGAAAAAAAAATCCAAAACTCAATCAATACTCAGGGTTCAATAATTGGAGAGCTGGAAAATGTTCTAAACAGTACAAAGGGAAGTATACCATAGGAGTATAATCCATCAAAGAAGCAAAAATCTGAATATGGACTAATGGGCCTTTCTAAGGCCCAAACACTTTTTGCTGATCTAGAAGCTTTAAGGGGAGTATATTTTTTTTATACAAGCATGATTCCATTAATATATAATTCCTTGGATGATAACGATCCATTTTGTTTTTTTTTTAATCTTGCCATCAAATCAATTCAAGTTATAATAATAAATAAAAATCTTAGATTGTGACCTAGTGTTCTTCAATCTGTATGATTAACTTTATTTTGTTGGGAGACAAAGAATATGACAATGAAAGCACTCGAATCCACCATCTAGACCGAATATATTAATGACTACAATTCTACAAAAAGCACTTTTGTTTCTCTTTTTGTCAACTCATAGTCTTATTAGATTAGAACAAAATAGTCTTATTAGATAGAACAAAATTGAAAGAAAACAAAAAGTATTATATATAGAAGAAGACTTGATTTAAGACTTTTAAGTTAAGGGTAGTTTTATTCTACGAGAGGCAGGTAAATTCAATGAAGGATTAGGTAATTCTCTCAAAAGAGAGGAAAAAAAAAAAAAAGATTTGATCATATCTGATTTCACCGGATTTCATTTGTTGGCTGCTACTATTACCCGCTATAATACAAAAATGTGATATAATAAACCATGGTATCGCAGAATTCGGTTTAGTGGTATATGAATAATATAAATTGTTGTCTAACGACTAATTCTACATAGTAGTTTGTATGACACGTTAACATGATCCATGAAATTTAAGTTTATTATAACTACAAAATAATTGTTGAAATAAATTAAAATACAACATTTTTGCGTTGGCTTATAACCTATAAACAATAAAAACAAAAATGATGCAGCATGCACATGCATACTAGTCACAAACTCACGATATCGCAAATTGATACAGGTAAGAATTGGCATTTAGAAGATAGTTCTTGGCGAGAGCTGATTTGCTACCTATGAAAGTTTAAATTAGCTATAGAGTTTACCTAATGAACATTTTTAGCTAAAAATTGTATCAGGTATATGGTCAAAGTATCTGAAACTCCTACCATGTTTAAATAAATAAACAAAAACAAAAATCATCGGTTGATCGTTTAACAAAATAAGTTTTATATGTGAATACTTCGTAACTTACACAAAATCAAATTGTGTTAACCAATCCGCG